AATGACAGAGAGAGAGATTAGTGCATCATCAGCATTTCATAATTTGCTGCATGAAGCGGTCTTCGACTTGAAACTTGGAAATGAAGAACAAAGTGTCACGGAATTAGACTACAAGGGAATGGTCATAGATTCTAATACGAAAAAATTTTTTCTGTATAAACCTCAGTTATATAAACCTTGTTGATTTACATAATTTTATTATTTTTTGTCTTATGAATGACATCAATCCAGTGATATCTGGCAATGATTCAATCCTTGTCTGCCTTGTGATCAAAACAAACAGGTGGGACATGGAGAGGCTTGGATCGAAGTGACCAACTTCATGGTTAGCCACAGGATTCCATCACGGATACACAAGTGACCAAGGATGGGAAGGCGTTATTATAGCACAGGGGCCAGCATGCTCTGCAGCATTATACTGTTGCTGACAATTATAAAGAGTCAACTGAAACTTTGGGGAGATGTATGGCTATTGTGAGAATTTAACACTCACAGGATACATTCAAGGCAAAAAATATGATGAAGATAACTTACTTGACAAGTGTGTGCAAATGGATGGAGGAAAAAGTACCACTTAGAAAAAGAGGGATCATAAATAAGAAAACAAAAAAAGACAGGAAGCTGTGGAGAGCCATAATCATTTGTCAAATTTCACATAACATTCTCTTTCATAAAAATATTTGACAAATTGCCTATTTCTATATCATAGACTCCTTTTGCCACATACACACACACACATATATATATATATATATATATGCACACACATCTAGGGGGCACAATCCTATGGGTAAAGGAACTTGGATGAGTTCCACCACGGAATTTTTGAATGAGCGGCGCAATATCGAGTCTAGTTTGCTACCTCTTCATCACTGAGGCTTGTTAGTACAGTTGGTATGATGTTTACCTGTCAATATAACTGTCTGGGTTTCAATTCTCTGTAGTGGATGCACACTGCTGATGAGTCCCAAATATAGGACGAAACAGCCGTTCAGTGCTTTCTGCATTTTGTTGAGGCTTCTTCTAGACTTGATGAATTATTTAATGTATATATATATATATATATATATATATATATATATATATATATATATATATATTATTAATTAAAGAATATCAAACACTTAAAATCCCATAGGTAATAATTTTTATTTCATGAGAGCTTTAAACAAAAAAAGCTCTCAATCTTCAAGACCTAATTTTGCTCTGTCTCTTGACATAGAGCTCTCCCTGGATCTATATCCTCCTGGAAATTCCATACGGATTACCATATTGTATTATTACTATATATATATATATATATATATATATATGAGAACTCTTAGGTAGTGATGGAATCATATTTTTAAAAACATAATTTATATATATATATATATATATATATATATAAATGCCAAATTCACTATAATTGAGAGAATAGAAAAGTACAGAGCAGATAACATTAGAAAGATTTTAGTTCCATGAAAATAAGTGGATACAACGTCTAAAAACACAATATCCAGCTGGGCTAAACCATAAATTTAACAATATAGATAGTACTAATATATTACTCAACAAATCAAAACATTTCTCACCCACATAAGACAGACATGCTTTCGGAGGTGTTGAGGCCTCACACTTATACACACATCATACTCACTCACTCCCTAATGAGCCAAATGATAACACACACCCACAGCAATACACACGCTTACACATATCATACTCACTCACTCCCTAAGGACCAAATAACACTCACACAAACACTAAACAGAGACACATCCCCTCTCAAGGACCAATAAAACTGTCAAACTGACCAAGGGGATTCAGAGAAGCATAGATCCATCCAGCTCTTATCTCAAATAACAACTTAAAAGAGACTGTTTGACCAACACTAGTAATGTTAAAAGATTCATGTTAAAAAGATAAAAAATAAACAAATGAAAACTACAGACAAAAGTTCATTTTCTTCATCAAGACATTCATTTCTATAGTTTACTGCTACCAGCAAGCAGAAATATTTCTTCTCCCGATGATGGCCATTTTGGCCGAAACTAGTCGAGGAATCTAAATGAAATAATAATAAAAAACAAACGAAAGAATATTAATCTACAACCCAGTGTGTCTGAAGATTTTAATTTTTTACTATTTTTTTATTGTTCAATATATATATATATATATATATATATATATATATATATATAAATTTCAGATAGAGTATGCATTTTGTCCTCTGAGGGACTTTATCAAAACAAAAGGATTTTATTTTGTAGCATGTATTTATATACAAGAGCAAAAATATTATTGATTTTTTGAAATATTTAAATTTAAGATTGCTGTTAAATATTTATTAGGTTAGGTAAGCTATGCAGGATACCAAGTAACACAATTCATTGTCTCATAAACAAAAGTGAGTGAGTGATGTTGTAACACTAATTGGGTTGTTGGTAATTAATAATCAAAATGCTAACTTGAAAATGAGATAATAATGAATAACTTATCATGAAAAGAGTTAACCAATGTCGGAAAAATAGGCTGATAGTAAAATTGTTCCCAGAGAATCAAAATATGTCCAATGGACCAAATGACCACTTGAAAGCGATTCTCAGTTTGTGTGAACAAATCAACTGTTGACAGCCTATGACAAACAATGCCTGAATCTGACAAGAGAAGAAATGAGTTAAAGCTAAATGAATTCATTTCATGAGACATCAGAATGAAAAAACAATGAATTGAACACCTGCAGCTAACCCCTATAATTTCCCTGGGAAAGTGTCTCTTGGGTTAGAGGTGAGAGAGCCAAATGTGGTGTCTATTCACTTATGAGAAAAGTACGTTTGAAATTGTATTTTTTTTATCAATCTCCGACCGAATGTTGGAGGTGACAGGCGCAGAAGAGCGATCAAGGAAGGAAGAGGGGTTGTCTGAAACCACTGAAGAGTAGTAGGCACAGAGGAGACATTAAGGAGGTTGAAGGAGCTACTCATGCTCACTGGGAGCAATAGTGAGAGATGGTACTAAGAGAATGTGGAGGGAGCCAGGTGGAGCAATGTCTGCACCCACCTCCATGAGAGAGGGAGAATTCTCCCAAATTATGAACTAATTTGATTTCTCAAGACCAGAAATAATAGATTTTTGTTGAAAATTAGGGGATTCACCGAAACCCAGCCTACATCTTGCCCCGACACCGGTTTCTAGTTGGAGTCCATAAAAATGAATGTGCAAAAGCCAATCAGAGAGTAGTTTGACAGTTTAGTTGATTTGAGTTGAGAAGAGTTGCGAGCTGACATTTGAGAAGGGAAGCAATGGCGGTCGCTGAGAGATTCCATACTTCCTACCACACACAAGAATCTCAGACTTCAGTCATGAGCCAAACTTACCAAAACAGTAAAACAAATTTCAATAAATCTGCAAGCAAAAAAATTACCAGCTCACCCAAGTGTTGCGTCCGATTTAGGAACGGGTTGGGTTGACAAACACCTGTATGCTAACACAGCTACTAATGAACCTTTGTACGCAGAATTGATGTAAAGACAGTAATTATTTTTTATATATATATAATATATATTGAGTGCTGTTTTTTTTAATTTTATTGTACGACTTCGCTCAGCCCAACATGAAGATACCTGCAATGAATTGATCTTGGTCTCCTTATAATCAAAATAATCACAATGTGGGGTAAGGCAGGTCAGGATTGAAGAGATCACTCCATTGATCAAACCGGGATTGATCAAGGTGTTACATTTGATTTGCTGTAAGCCAGGATTGAGTTGAATCATTACAACATTTTTGAAACTTTTTTTTAGTTTGGGGATTAGTTCTAAATTAATTTAGTTTGAGATCAATCCCAAACTAAGATAATTTAAATACTAATTTGTATTAAAAAAAAAAAAAAAAAATCAAAAACTTCACTTACACGCTTTTGTTTATTAGACATTGAATTGTAACTTCCTGTTGTGTCCTTCATACTTTGCCTAAATTTTCACCTAACCTGATGAATATTTATAAAAGTTCCTAATTTTTAAAAATTTTGAAAAACCAATAACATTTTTGCGCTTGTACATAAATACTTGTTACAAAACAAAATTCTTGCATTTGCCTTGATAAAGTACCTCAGAGGATGAAATGCATCAACTAAGTTTTCTTTTTGTCTTTATTCACACATACGCACACATTATTTTTAGTGGGTACATGTGTTTTAGTTGGTATCTGTTTTTTTTGTTAAATGGTGAAATTAATAACAATAATTATTTCACTGTTTAATAAAATAAAAAAAACCAGGATAGTAACTCAAACATGTGTACCCACTAAAAATAATGATGTTTACAGTAATAAAAAAGAATGTCAGATTAAAAACTTTATTTCAGAATTATATATATATATATATATATATGGGATATGGGTACATATTGCATTTTATATAATAAATAATTAGATTTTCAAGAACTGATTGCCCCATATAGTGAAAGGACAAAGCACAGTGTCAAAATATTCTATATCTATTATTCACTTTCTACTGTTCTTTTTCTATTTAGATTTTTAATCCTGAACATTATATTTTTTTCTCTAGCTGCTGAGCTCTGCCTTTGTTTATATGGGTCAAAATCATATGTTCCTTGTTTAGGACCCATATGGTTTTAGAAGTGGTAAAGTGTTTACATGTACAACCTTTGTTTGTAACCCCTTTGGATTTTATGAGGTGGTTTCACAGAGTTTTTTCTTCTTGATTGATGATCTTAGAAATATTTCATTTAAACTATTTTACCATAGAATTTTGAAGTATATTGCAATAACCTGTTTCTAATATCAGTAGAAATAGATATGAAATTGCTTTAAAATATAGACACATCAGAAACTTTTTTATGAACATGCGTGAGGGTGGGAGTTTAAAATTATATCTCAAACATCTGTCATTATGAACAAATGCATTTTATTTTCTCAGGAAAATTAATTTTCAAATATAACATGGTTAGAATGTTATATGATCATTGTGAATCTACAGTTATAGTTTTAATTTTTAG